TACACTCTCAAACACACACACACACACACACACACACACACACACACACACACACACACACACACACACACACACACACACACACACACACACACACACACACACACACACACACACACACACACACAAGCCTCAAAACATAAAACACCACCGATAGAGAACTGGTAGACGCTACGAACAGTGACGTCCTGCTATTCAATTGTTATTTGATTGAATTCGGACAGAATAATGACATTAGGAAACACACAGAGCCCCAGGGTCGTTAACGAGGTTTCAGCTTCCTGCAGGGTCATGAAACAGATTTTTCTTTTTAAATATCCAAACTGAAAAGTCAAAGTCTTCACTGTATCTACGTTTAATTTGAATGAAAAAGACAACTTGCAACAGGCTGCGTTTGTGTGGGAGAGATGCTACAGGTGGTGGTTAGAAGAGAACAACAAATACATTCAGGGAGTCCAGTTTGAAGGGTCAGATGTCAGTTATTGGGCGATGGACAGAACATTAGTCAACAGTTTGGATATTGGTTAATAGTTTGGGTCATTTATCAAAGCACTGTCCCCTTGTTCTGGCTCCTCAAATGTGAGGCGTTGCTGTGGAGTTTTTGACCATAGAAGGCACTGTGGAGTTATCATAAATATGTACTTTGAACAATTGTGCGTGACAATAGTCCTGTGAATGGTTTACCGCTACTGCACTGAGCAACCGTCGCGATTGCTAACGTGCAAAGAAGAAGGCTTTGAGATAGCAAACAAAGCAAGATTTAAAATATTTCAGCCATTGCGAATATGTAATAATTAGGGCTGTCAGTCGATTCAAATATTGAATCGCAGGATGTCCATAGTTAATCGCACATTTTGTATCTGTTCTAAATTTACCATAGAGGAATATTTTTCAAGTTTTTAATACTCTTATCAATATATGAGTGGACAAATATGCTTTATGAAGATGTTTGTTTATTATCATTGGAACAATGACAAATATTCTAATGAAGGACAAATACAAATACGTTAAAATAATTAGTGGCGTTAAAAAAAAAAATGGGGTTAACGCTTTATTAATGCGTTGACTTGACAGCCCTAATTATAATGAAGAAAAGACACCTTTGAAAGACCTCACGTATACAGTGTTGAAAAACACTTAACATCATTGTAAATCTCGTTTTAGCTGCCAACCTGGTTGTACATTTCTTAAACATTAAATATCTCAAGAGTGTATTATACCTTTATAGAACAAGTACCATGCATACAATTACATTCATAACAAAAAGAGGAGAAGTTATACGCCAGATTATAGATAAAGCTAATCTCCATCGGCAAGAGAATTATGTAAAAGAAAATGGCCCTAATATTCATAAACTTTCTTTGTTTAACATGTCAAATGTATTGTATTGTGAAAATATATATACAACATATATATTTGTTGTAAATGTAAAAGAATAGAGGCCGACAAAAAGACTAAAATGCTGTTAAAATGTATTAAAAAACAAACGCTTTTTCTTCAAATCCCTTATTACACTTAGATTTGTAGTTAATTGGAACTATTTGGTGTTCGGATGCAGAACCGTCTCTGAATTGAAAACAGGAATTGCCTTTTGAAAAACGGAATCATCACGTATTTCTGCTGCAGATTAACCGGCTCACTGTCTCTCTCACAGTATTATCATAAGATCAATGCTTTGTGCCCTCGCTGCCCAAACACACTCGACAGGGTTCCCAGGCAACAGGCGTCCCTCCCCTCCCCCGCAGGTCCTCATCCACTTCCTCTTCTTTTTCTATGTGTGGAGTATGGCGCTGCTGAGAGTTGTGATGTATGCAGGGTCAGGACCAGGCACCATACAAGCCCACACTGATGCCTATTAACACTGTGTATGAAAGCTGAGGTGTGTCACCTTATTACACACCTATTGACTGACCACAGCAGAAATCATAAATCACTAGTAAAACATGAAATGACGGAGGGGGCTGAAGCTACTCCTTAAATGAGGTAGAATAAGAATAGTGTATTGTAGCAATGTTTAAACTCTAGAAAGGGATTTCCCCCTTTCTACAGGCATATTAAAGGTGCAGAGCCCCAGTGTTTGTGGAAGAACAGAGGCTTTCAAAAGTATAGCGGGATTTTTTGTATAATTCTTTGCTTTTTAAAATTCCAGTCAACAGCATCAGAACTGAAGCAAACAACATCACAGAAGCGCAAGTCTCATTAAAGGGAAGTGACGATTAGGCAAACAGTTGAGTTCATTCATCAAGTCATTTTATGCTCCCTAGGACACCTTCATGTAATTTATTCATGGTTCACATTATAAGGAGCAATTGTCATATTATGCTAGGAAGTATTACAAATAAATATGATATCATTAATATACATTTATATATAGTAAATCATTTTACATTATACTTTAATACTTTGGGCAGTGGGATCCTAATAAAAAAAAATCCTTGGCGTGGCATCCAAAGGTTTAGAAACCCGTTTGCACACAAATACGTGGCTGGAAATCTGTCTCTC